TTTTAATAATTTGCAAAAAAAAGTTTTAACAGGTTCTGCCAGATTGCCCTTTGAATAGGCTGTAACCTGTTGATGTACTTTCTTACCCACAATGCAATGAGTGTCTTTTCCCCTATATCCTTACCACTCTTGGCTAACAGTATTTGGGATTCTGCCAATTTGAAAAGTAAAATCCATCTCCTGGGTTTGTGTGTATTTCCTTGATCGTTGTAAGACTGGATCTTATTATATAGCTTTAAAATGTTAATTTCCAAAAATTTAAGATAGTATTGGCATATTAAAATACAATTTTAACACAACTTTGGGCAAAATTATTTTACTTTTAAAAATAAGAGAAAAAATGCTATGTTAATAGTATATACAGAACAGTAGTTTCTAACATATTTTAGAAATGGAAACAGAAAATTAAGTGCTAGTATTTCATCTTTTCAAGCTTTACAGAAAATACTCTGCTGAGTTCGTACATCATGTTATTTTTTTCCCCACACATAAAAATCCTGAATAAGACAATTCACTGAGGCTTCTAGATCAGCTACAGTGCCCACCACTAAACAATGTTTCTTTTAGGGGTCAACTGTTTCCTTGGCAGGAGAAAGATTTACACATGCAAGTCCTATTAACATTAATAGGAGTTATCAGCATAAATCCCCCTACAATGATAGACAAAAAGATCCTACAGTTTACCAGGATCCAAGTTCTAATGATTACCTGTCATACTGTTCTCGGAGTCATCAACACCAGAATGAGCAGGCACGGCAACTTGTACCACAAGGGTATTTCATTGCAGCCCCAAAGCTAAATTGTGCATCAATGGAAAAAAAAAGTGGCCTTCAAAATGTGAGCTGGGATTCTAAGTGTTAAACCACTTAAAACAGCATTTTTTAAAAGCCATCGTTAAAGAGAATTCAAACATTTGGAACCATTTTTTCAAGTGTGAATGAGTTTCAAGGTGCTTGAAGGATAATACAGCTACTTATTTAAAAATTCAATTAATCTTATCGTTCTTAAAATTGATTAATTAATAATCTCATAGATAAACTGCCAGTTTTGAGAGTCCTGTTCTCTTTTTAATGTCTACTTACTGAGAAAATTTAGAAACCACTTGAAATTGACAGAAAATGTCAGTCTGCTTTAATTATTTGACTCAATAGCAAATCATGGTTTAATGAATAATTTCTGCATAAAAAGAACATCAGGAGTCTCTTATCTATTGCAAATGAGTTGTTGGGGCCTCAAACACCTCAAAGAAAAACATTCAGGTTCTCATTTGCCAAACAGATATGAAAAACATTTCAGATTCTCATCATGTAAGTGAGATGTGAAAACAGTCTGCAGGCAATCAATGTATTATAAATTCACAGCTCATGCTGCACAGACTCCATGGCACTGATTCCAAACAGAAAAAGCTCTCATCCACCTTTGTTTGATATTGGCATTAATGTTGGCATCTAGAACAGTTTGCAAAGTAACTCATGGCCCTATATTATTTCATTGCCTTTCTCACAAACTTAACACAGTTGGCAGATGTCTAAAAACAAAACCAAATATACAGCTTGACAATTAACTATTTACTTAATAGATTAATATTAAAACATAAATCTGGTTCAAGTCAATCTTCAAATTCTTGGCAGATATAAAAGATGTAAGCACTACAAAATATGATACCATGCCTGAAAAGGATTGAAAAGTCTTTATTTCCTTATGAAAACTTATTGTTACAGTGCATAGTTTATGAATATTAATATATTCATGCTTTTTGAAATACAATAAAATTAGCTGAGTAAAAGACAAATTATTCAATGTCAATAGCAGTAAATAACTTATTTGCAAGAAAATTATTACAATTCCTACTGTAAAGAATCATCAACCACTATTTAGCAATTAAATTTCAACAGAATTTTTTTTGGAACTCTTTAGGACTTTAGACAAAGGCTACCAAGGCTGCCAATCCAGGTAACTATGGCAGTGACAGAAGTCAATCATTAATACTGCCATTAATTTAGACAAAGGGCTGACAATCCCACAAACTAGTTCTAGAAATTACCATCAATATGGCCATTTTAGTATGGACAAATAAATGTTATGGGAGATAGGGAAATTGTTACTCCATTTTCCTGTAGAAAAATATATAAATTGACCTTTTATATATACACATGTATGTATACACATACAGTATATGTTTTTCTGGGCAGGTACACCAACTAGCAAAAAATACAATAGCCACATAGGATAAGGTATTGGTTCTCATACTGATCACTAAACTGAACGGTATTATCATTTTTGGTTAATAAGAGGCATGCATAAACATTTTAAATACATGAATCAAAATTCTTTGATAACATTTTTGAAAACGTAAATTAGCTACTGAAAATTTTCCACTATCTAAAACATATTAATTTTATTAATATGACTTCAAGCTTAAGGTTTTATAACAAAACCAAAAGATTTTTCTTTTTGACTTGAAACTCTAAGAACAAATATTTATTTGCAGTAATTAGGATAACTAAAAAGAAAGCTCTAATAATTTCTATTACATTTTGAGGCAACAGGAAGTATCTAAGGTTCTCAAAGTGTTTTAGCAGTTGTAGTTGTATAATACATGAATCATGTTCAGCAACTTTTAAACATTTCAGTAATATTTAATAAATGACCTGAAAAAGAAATGCTGATGCTGGCTATTGAATGAAACAGGGTACAATAATGGACCACAAACAATCTCCTTCATTGTTCTACATATAGGCAGCTGCAGTAAGGCCAGCAGAATTTTTCTGGTTATTCTAGGCCTATCCTGATTGTCTGTTTACATGAATGTGCATGCTGCATTCAAGAGGCCTTAACTCTAAGACCATAACAGTGCAATATCTTTATTGGCACAATTTACTGCAATTGTATTCAGACTCAATTGTCTCACCTAGTGGAACCTTTTATAACGTATTGCTGATATCCAGAGGCAAGGCCAATACCCAGTACATTAATAGGTATGTATTAGACATTGAGTGCATATGCCCCAGCTGGGTTTCAGGAAACATGATTTGATATAAGAAAAGTCTGAATCCCTGTGACAAAGTAGGTTATTATGTGATCCTACTGTCCTGATTTATGTGACATTATAAAAGGGGAAGCGAAGGAAAGGGGACTAAAGAGACGGGGAGGAGCTGTACACCGGGAGGTAGGAACAGGAGCAGCCTGAGAGGCCAGTAAGTTTAGTTCTTCCATTATTCTGGCTTCAACTATATCTGCAGGGGGTAGAAAGGAGAGGCATGAGCTACGTTCCTTGGTTCTTTCATTTCCCATGAATCTGTGACATGCTACAGCTAGCTTCCTTTAAGAACGTTTCTGAAACCTGGTGAGGTCAGGGACCAGCTGCAGTTGAAGTATGTAAGAACTATGTGCTTTACAATGGAGCCATGGCTTACTGATAGACAATATGGGCTGTATCTTGCGGAAAAAAAAAAAAATAGAGTTCATTTATTTATTTACAGGCAATTATAAGAGTAAACTATTACTCAGATAAAGTAGACCATCAGAGCTTGGCCATCTGAAAAAACTCAAATATAGGCAACGTCACTGTAGCTAGGTTTGCTGCCTATGTACAGACGTACAGACCTACCTTTTTTTTTTTTTTTTTTTTTTTTTTTTTGAGACAGAGTCTAGCTCTGTTGCCCAGGCTGGAGTACAGTGGCACAATCTCGGCTTACTGCAACCTCTGCCTCCCAAATAGCTGGGATTACAGGTGCCTGCCATCACATCCAGCTAAAATTTTATATTTTTAGTAGAGGCAGGGTTTTGCCATGTTGGCCAGGCTGGTCTCAAACTCCTGACCTCAAGTGATCTAACCACCTTAGCTTCCCAAAGTGCTGGGATTACTGGCAGCCCTAACATTTTTACGTAGCATGTATATTAGGGCTTACCAACTGTCATACTCAATTTGAAGTCCTTGGTGGTTGCAGGTTTACCTACCAGAAAAGAAATAGGAACAATTTATAGAGTGTTTTCCTTAGTCACATTTCAAAACCACAATTCTACTTGCTACTATTTTTACTCATCTGTAAGACTATAAACTACTAATTTAAAAAAGAAATTTTCATTTAGAAAGCTTAATGCAATAAAAATGCTGTGATCTATTTTGTTTGAAGCTGACAGCAAGCAATTATTTCCTGTGTGAGACTTCTGATAATCATCAAGTCAGTGGGAAAATTCTAAAACAATTTTCTTCCAGTGATGCCATACTAAAGATGGCACTGCATTTGTCTTCGTAACCATTGTCATACAGTAGGCACAGTACTACTATATATGGAGAAACATAGGCTAAGAAGTTAAAGTAATTTACCAAATATCATCAGTAGGACAGCCAGGATTAAATTAGGTCTGCAGACAATTAGCCTAGTACTGTAGTTACCTGACAGACAGAACATCCAAATACCAATGAGTCTATCCATGCCTTTCCTTCCATTCTTTCATTTATTATTGACCCTTCCCAATATGTAAATAATTTACAAATATCACTGATACTAAAAAAAACACTACTGACTTGTTCATAAAAATGTGTAAACACCTTAATATTAGCATTTTCAATGCTTCTCAACATAGAAAGCAAAGCAAAACAAAACAAACCCACATTCCAAATACAGGCTTCTATCTAGATCATGATACTTTAGTTTTTCTATATATGTTTTTATCCTTATGTTATAATGCTGTTATTAATAAAGAAACTATAATTCAAATAATCAAAGAAAATACGTGAGCTGGTTCTGAAAATGTGGCTTTCCATCAAAGACCCAAAGTGGTAAACAAAATTGTCCTAAAACCACTTAATTATTAACAATGCATAGGATCACTTTATATCCATAGTTACATTCCTGAGAATCAAATGATTTATAATTTTCATCTGCTAGTTACTCAAGTTTGGTATTTAAAATGAGCAAGTCAATGTGCTTTATAAGTGTTGTGTGTTCTTGGAATGTCCTCTATAAGGAAAATCCCCTTTCGGATTTCTATTACCTATTTTGCCTTATAATTGCTGCTGCTTTCTAACATTTTTCAAACAGTCCTTCTATCAAGCAGGCTCTGAGACCAGTAGAAATTTCCCAAGTGGGGTATTCAGTTTAGCGTGTATCCATTATTCAGAGGGCTCCTCTAGGTTTCCAAGGTTTGTGCTTTCCTTGAGAGTCTCTGAGTTAGCCTCTGGTATGGCACTGGATTCTGAAGCCTCTGGCTGTAAACTGTCTCCATCAAGGACAATGTCTTCAGGATTTGGTGGAGGGGGACAGAAATCTTCATTGGGGCAGATTTCCTGGAAAAGTGTTTCAGCCTGGCCAACAAAGAAAAGATAAAATCATTTTTGGAAATCAGTTTAAAATGTGTGTGCATTTCTGGCACTAACTAAAAAATTAAGTGTTATCCTTTAAAATTCCCTTAAGCAAGTTATAGTACTTTATCAGTATACGTAAACTTCTGTAAGTTTGTTTTCAGAATTCTATGACTTCTCCCTTTAATTCTATACATGTATTCAGGTCCACTCTTCAAGGATGGCAGTACCCCATCAGGTTCATTATTATCAAGTGTTCAGACTGTTGAGAACTGAAACACATTCATTCTATGTATCAATAGAAATACAATTTCCTTAATATTATTTTGTATGATTTATTATAGAGCCTTGATATGGTTTGATTCTGAGTCCCCATCCAAATCCCATCTCAAATTGTTATCCCCATGTGTTAGGGAGTGATTGAATTAAGGGGGCAGCTGTTCCCATGCTGTTCTTGTGATAGTGAGTTCTCACGAGATCTGATGGTTTAAAGTATTTAGCAGTTCCCCTTCTCTCTCTCTCCTGCCCCCATCTAAGACATGCCTTGCTTCCCCTTCACCTTCCACCATGATTGTAACTTCCCTGAGGCTTCCCCAGCCATGTGGAATTGTGAGTCAATTAAACTTTTTTTTGTTTAGAAATTACCTACTCTCAGATAGTATCTTTATGCAGTCTAAGAGGCACTAATAGAATTGGTACAAGGAATGGGGTACTGCTATAAAGATAACCCGAAAATGTAGAAGTGACTTTGGAATTGGGTAACGGGCAGAGGTTAGAACAGTTTGGAGGGCTCAGAAGAAGACATAAATGTGGGAAAATTTGGAACTTTCTAGAGATTTGCTGAATGGTTTTGACCAAAATGCCGATAGTGATATAGACAATGATATCCAGGCTGAGGTGGATTCAGAGGTGGAGACGAGGAACTTACTGGGAACTGGAGCAAAGGTGACTCTTGCTATGCTTTAGCAAAAAGACTAGCGGCATTTTGTCCCTGACCTAGAGATCTGTGGAACTTTGAACCTGAGAGAGATAATTTAGGGTATGTGGCAGAAGAAATTTCTAAGCAGCAAAGCATTCAAGAGGTGACCTGGCTGATTCTGAAAGCACTCAGTCACGTGTGTTCACAAAGCGATGGTTTGATATAGGAACTTATGTTTAGAAGGGAAGCAGAGCATAAAGGTTTGGAAAATTTGCAGCCTGACCCATGTGGGAGAAAAGAAAAACCCATTTTCTAGGGAGGAATTCAAGCTGGCTACAGAAATTTGCATAAGAAATGATGAGCCAAATGTCAATAGCCAAGACAATGTGGAAAAGGTCTCCAGGGCATATCAGAGATCTTCCCTAGAAGGGAAAAATGGTTTTTTAGGCTGGGTGGGCTGAACTGCTCTGTGTAGCCCTAGAACATGGTGTCTTACATCCCAGCTGCTCCAGCTCCAGCCATGGCTAAAAGGAATAAAGGTACACCTTGTACTGTTGCTTCAGAGGGTGCAAGCCCCAAGTCTTGCCAGCTTCCATGTGATGTTGGGCCTGAGGGTGCACAAAAGACAAGAATTGAGGTTTGGGAGCCTCTGTGTGGATTTCAGAGGATGTTTGCCAATGCCTAGATGACCAGGCAGAAGTCTGCTGCAGGGGTACAGCCCTCACGGAGAACCTGTGCTAGGGCAGTGCTCAAGGGAAACGTGGGCTTGGAGCCCCCATAAAGAGTAACCAACAGGGAACTGTTTAATGGAGCTAAGAAAGGACCATTGTCCTCTAGACCCTAGGATAGTAGATCCACCGACAGCTTGCACCACACGCCTGGAAAAGTCACAGGCACTCAATGCCAGCCTGAGAAAGCAGGCACAGTGCCTATGCCCTGCAGAGCTACAGGATTGGAACTGCCCAAGAGCATGGAACCCTAGTCCTTGTATCAGCATGGCCTGGATGTGACGACATGGAGTCAAAGGAGATTTTGGAGCTTTAAGATTTAATGACTGCCCAGCCGGATTTGGGACTTACATGGAGCCTATGGCCACTTTGTTTTGTCCAATTTCTCCCACTGGGAATGGAAACATGTACTCAATGCCTATACCCCAGTGTACCTTGGAAGTAATTAACTTGCTTTTGATTTTACAGGTTCATAGGCAGAAGGGACTTGCCTTGTCTCAGATGAGACTTTGGATGTGGACTTTTGAGTTAATGCTGGAATGAGTTAAGATTTTGGTGGACTGTTGGGAAGCCTTGACTGGTTTTGAAATGTGAAAAGAACATGAGATTTGCGAATGGCCAGGGGCAGAATGAAATGGTTTGGCTGTGTCCCCACCCAAATCTCATCTGAAATTGTAATTCACAAGTATTAGGGAGGGACCTGGTAGGAGGTGATTGGATTATGGAGGCAGTTTTCCCCATGCTGTTCTTGTGACAGTGACTTCTCAAAAGTTCTGATGGTTTAAAAGTGTTTGGCCATTCCCTCTTCACTTTCTCTCTCCTGCTGCCATTTAAGACACATCTTCCTTCCCCTTTGCCTTCCACTGTAATTTTACATTTCCTGAGGCCTCCCCAGCCATGAGGAACTGTCAGTCAATTAAACCTCTTTTGTTTACAAATTACATAGTCTTAGGTAGTATCTTTATAGCAGTATGAGAACAGACTAATACAAGCCTATATGTAATAGTGGTATAGTCTCATTTAGCATATAATAATTTTTAACAAGTCACTGTTCAAACGAAGAAAATTCCTCACTGTTTGCTCAACTATTTGCTTTCTGATATAGTTCCCATTCCCTGGACTTTAAGGACTATAGCACTTGTTTAATCTCATGGATTTTGAAAAGACAGCCTCAGTAAAAATGCTGGCTCTACTATTTAGCAGCTATGTGATTTGGGGAATGTTTACTCAATTTCTGAGCTTTGGCTTCCATATCTATAAAATGTCAGAGAGTAAGCCAGCATATATGGTAGCTATTTTCATTATTACTAATAATAACATAAGTAAAAATGTCAAGATTTAAGTTGAACTTATTAGTATGATAGTGAGGGAATGTATTCTCTCCCCGGGTCCACAAGGGGGCGTAGTTTCAAGGGCAAGAACTTCTCAGTGCCTTCCCTCCCCCACCTCTTCATCCGGGAATTAGAGGTCTTAGTTTTCCCACACGTGGGAAAGAATCAAAGATCAATCACTCCAGGGGAAGTTTAAAGGAACTCCTTTCATAGGTCAAAGGGCTTGAATAGGGTGGGAATTCCTCCCAGGTTAAAAGTCCCTGTCCCCACATCTGGCCGGACTCCATGTCTGGATCCCCTTCGACGACCTTCGTGGAAGCTTTCCTCTCTTATCTTTTTCTTTCTCCTTTTTCTCTTTCTCTGCCTAAATACATCACTTTCTGCAACAACTCTTTGGGATCCGATATTTACTTGTGAGTGCACTACGCCCGGTATGGTCCCCTCTCCCATTCTTGGTTGAGTGAGAGACCAATAGCCTGGAAGAACAGCCCACCAGGGAGCAAGCTAAGCCTCCCCTGGGTCCCGGAACCTGGCAACAATAGGATAACAGAATAAAAAGCTTCAAGGGTATGTTTTTGGACACGTCAATTACCACAGACAATTTTTTTAAGTCTTTAAATACTTAATTGGCAAAAACTATATATTCAAGGTGTCCAAGGTCATTTGATATACAGGGTGTAATGATTACCACAATCAAGTTAAGACGTCCATCACCACCAATAGTTACCACTGTGTGTGTGTGTGTGTGTGTGTGTGTGTGTGTGTGTGTGTGTGTGTGT